CACGGTCAAACATCACACTATATCACTCATAATGCATGAAAATATGATAAACATCAGACATAGGTCGGAAGAACAAGAGGTTATCCATTCTTCTAGCCCCATAGAATGTGTAAGTCGACTCAAAGCCAGCAATTTTCAACCGTAAGATTTGAATACTAAGTTTAGATATGCTCCCCTTAGGATTCAATTCTTAGATATTTGATTCATTGCAAAATCATCAATATTCAGCGAACCCAAAATGATATGGTAAAACCTTATCACTTCTTTAGAGGTCACTCGAATCGGGTAAAGGTCACTTGAACTGATTCTGGTCGAGCTGTGCTGATAAACTGAGTTGCTTAGCTCAGAAGAAATCAGGTCGTGATAAGGTCGCCAGATGAATGCTGAACCTCGACCTCAGCTAAGGAAATCAACTGAGGGGTGGAAAACTGCAGTGATCATCAACCTATATGATTTAGGAGGCTGAGGGCAACAAACAGACCTAGGTTGATCGAGCTCTGGAACATTGTGTAATACAACAAATTAAGACACATACAAGGAAAGAAATCTATGGTTCTTTTCTCAAGATAAGAAACATTTGGGTAAATCCAGTAACTAGATTAACAAGGTAACCATCTTATAAATAGTTAATGGACAGGTAAATCCCTATTACATTCACAATAATCCATATAATCTCATAGGCTACAATTTCTTTTCTTTTTTTCTTTCGAAATGATAGAAATTTTATAACATAAAACACATAGATACATCCAGAAACAGCTCAAAAGCTGAAAGGACAACTCAAAAGCTGAATCTAGTGAGAGGACAGATCTAGAGGATCGGCTAGAGCCTACACTGGAACAAATGCACGCACTAATAACAGAGAAAAACAAATACCACAACTGGAGAAAGAACTCCTCTACGGAAGAAAGAGCTCCCCTGCGGGAGAAAGAACTCTCATACGGGAGAAAAGACCCAAAGAAATAAAACCAAAAACACAAAAAAACAAAAACACTAACTACAACACATACTAAAAACTAAAAGCACACAACTAAAAGCAAAACATCCCTCCCCACAGCGGCCAACTCCAATCTTCGCAGCGGCAGCATGACGGACCTCCATCCAATCAGACAAAGCCACAACCCCGAATGGACTCAAAAACTGCAATAAACGCCTAACTAAGTCTAAAACCAATGACCACGACCCATATCCGGACAAACATCCCAAAGAGGCCCGGACCCCGGTCTGGCCTCGACGACCAACCCTCCAACCAACACCAGGAAGAAGAAGAGCCCGGTGAAAAGCAGCAACCCCTCCAAACCCGAATTTCCCCAGAGAGGGGAAAAAGACGGGAGCACCACCCAAAAAGGACTAGCGGAGGCACGCCATAGCAGAAAGCACTGTGGAATTGGCAACCTGCACCCCATCCTAGCACCTGCAACAAACGAAGAAAACCTATTCAGGGGACCGGATCCTTCTTCACCAGTGGAGAACAACTCCTCCTTCGGGCAGTCCTCCCGACATTGGGCCGCAGAACCAGGTCCGGCGCCGCCGAGAAAACCAGAGAGCCCCGCTGGGGGAGGCGACGAATCAGACGGGCGAAGGTGAAGAAGGAAAGGGGATCTGGGAGATTTTCTTAGAGAGAGAAAAGAGTTCATATGCAACATTTTAATTGAGGGAATTATTGAAGAATTCGAAATCTATAGATTTCAAATTTACAAGTTTAAATCTCAATGCATGTTGCGATGATATTACAATTTGAAAGATTTCAAATTCATGCTAGATAGATTATAGTCATTATTTTGATGGATTTTAAACGACTTCTAAAATCTAGTCATTTGAAATTCACTGTTCATCTCACCGTTGACGACCACACTGCCCGCAAGTACGACTCTTCATTTAGATTCATCACCACCGCGAATCAACACCATCAGTGCGACCTACACAAGGGATATATAATCATTTCCACAAATCCATTCAAGGAGTTTGAAAGTAGAAAATTATTTCAGAAAATTATTTCAGAAAATTCAAAATCAAGAGATTTCAAATCTCTCATTTCAAACGTAGGCTGAAAGAAACTTGATTTGGGCGTCGGAGACTTTATATTGAAAATCCCTCCTAACATTTTTTTGCAAGTAATTGAAGAGGTTCAAAGACATTCTGAGCAGGATTAGACCGGTGTTATACATCAAAAGGTTTGCAAATCGAGAAGTATATTATGACGAAACTTAAATAGAAATTATAATGACACACAATATACATTTCAAAATTAACAGTCATATCCACCATTATTAATTTCTAGACAACATATACTTGTTTATTTGTTTCTTTAAAAAAAAAAAAAAAAAAAATAGTCTTGCAATTGTTATTCAATAGGAGACATCTTTAGTGATCAGGTGGACTCGAAACTATAAAAGATTACCAACTTAATGTCTTACACTCTAAGCTAGTGTAAAATTTCATGCAGTTGTTCAACTACACATCTAATTATCAACTAATTTTATAAAAAAAAAAATATATCTTAATTACATTAACATGAAATGATTAATGATCCCATCAAAAGCTCATTTGTTTAGATTATTTTTTATTTTAAAATAAAATATACTCGCCTTTTATTCAAAATAAAATACACTTGCGACCAAACCACCTCAACTACTCTCTTTGTCCAACCTCTTCCTTATTATATTTATTTTATATATATAATATATCGTCTAATAATGTGTTTTCTTATCATTACAAAGAAATACTATGTTACGTTATTATTGTAACTATAGATTTTTTTGTGAAGTATTTATAATATGTAATTATTGTTCAAGACTTGGAATAAAAGTATGCTTGGATACAAAATTTATTCAAAAAATTCAAACATTTTTAACTCACAAAAATTTTATGGAGTAATCAGATAGTTTTCTTATGGAGTCATCCGCCACTTAATGTATTAACATATATGGACACGTGTTAATACACTATTGGTAAACAAATGTGGATGGCTCCATAAGTCGAGTCATCCGATGGTTTCATAGCAAAACTGTTTTAACTCAATCACTTTTTCTTTTAACTCAACTTTAACTCAACTTCACTATCATTAATATTTATTAATATAATTAAATAATATCAACCAATCATTATTGTACACATCACGTCAACCTTAATTCACTATTCATCCACTCACATAATTTTAACTATTCATCCACTCACATAATTTTAACTAACCATCACTTCAAATCATCTCTCGTACTTTTGTATCAAATCATCTTTAACTATTATATTTTAAATATTATCTTAATATATTCACTAGCAACTAACCACACCATTTTTTCCAAAATTAACCCAACCAAATCAAAAAAAAATCTAAACAAATTCAAAAAAATTTATATCCAAGCCTTCTTTCATTCACATTCACTATTCGGCAGTAAGTAACACACAGTTGGGTCCCACAATATGTTTTAGAGGAATTTACACTCTCCACTTAAACAACTTGAAAATATTACATTGATGGGTCCTTTTCCAGATCCGGGACGATCTGATGAGAATGGGCTCAGATCTGGAGCGAACCGGTGAGGGTGAACTCAAATCCGACTTGATGGCTTCTGAACTGCTACTGGACCGCGGGGACACCTGCAAGAACTCAACGCCGGAGGGGTTTCCGGCGTAGAGCCTCCGACGCTCAAGTCAGTATGTGAACGAAAATGAGGAAGTGATCTGAGGGAGGCGCAGCAATGGAGGAAAGTATGGAAAGGATCAAAAGTTAGGGTTTAGGGCTACCTCTTCTCCTTTATATAGGAGGGAGAATTTACCTGAGATGCCTAAAATGCCCCAAGTCGGTGGTCCTGAAAAGTCCAAATTGCCCCGGTCGATTCATCTTCCCTCCTTGCTGAGTCATCCCCAAAATCCTTTTTATCCATAGGTGGACAAAGGGGTTCTAACGAATACACCATGCATATAGTCGACTACATGTTCTATACGTCGAGATATGGGACGTCGACCTCGAGCGCTCTTTCCACCATTCATGTTTCCACTGTTCGAGAGTCATCTCCACAAGTTCTTGATTATAGATCGACCTCTAGGAAGGTCGACTGACTCAAGTCGACTTTCGGAAGTCGACTTATGTCGTCTTTTTAGAATATCTGATACTCTGCTTCATGGCCGGGTCGGCTTTGAATGAAGTCAATCCTAAGCACCTTCTCGTCCTGGCTCGATCCGCGAGCAGAAAGAACCTTTGGATCGGTATATCTTTAAAGGGCTATATCATCTAGTCCCCCCCATAAATTACTCTAAGCAGTCGGCTGCTTAAGAGTAAATTTAA